GCACACGCTAGGCCCTTGTTCTTGCAATTTTGCACAAGCTAGGCCCTTGTTCTTGCAATTTTGCACACGCTAGGTCCTTGTTCTTGCAATTTTGCACACGCTAGGCCCTTGTTCTTCCTATTTTGCACATGCTAGACCCTTGTTCTTGCAATTTTGCACACGCTAGGCCCTTCTTCTTGCTATTTTGCACACGCTAGACCCTTGTTCTTGCAATTTTGCACACGCTATGCCCTTGTTCTTGCTATTTTGCATACGCTAGACCCTTGTTCTTGCAATTTTGCACACGCTAGGCCCTTGTTGTTGCAGTTTTGCATACGCTAGGCCCTTGTTCTTGCAATTTTGCACACGCTAGGCCCTTGTTCTTGCAATTTTGCTCACGCTAGGCCCTTGTTCTTGCAATTTTGCACACGCTAGGCCCTTGTTGTTGCAGTTTTGCATACGCTAGGCCCTTGTTCTTGCAGTTTTGCACACGCTAGGCCCTTCTTCTTGCAATTTTGCACACGCTAGGCCCTTGTTCTTGCTATTTTGCACATGCTAGACCCTTGTTCTTGCAATTTTGAACACGCTAGGCCCTTGTTCTTGAAATTTTGCACACGCTAGGCCCTTGTTCTTGCAATTTTGCACACGCTAGGCCCTTTTTCTTGCATTTTTGCACACGCTATTTTGCACACGCTAGACCCTTGTTCTTGCAATTTTGCACATGCTAGGCCCTTGTTCTTGCAATTTTGCACACGCTAGGCTCTTGTTCTTGCTATTTTGCACACGCTAGACCCTTGTTCTTGCAATTTTGCACACGCTAGGCCCTTGTTCTTGCTATTTTGCACACGCTAGACCCTTGTTCTTGCGATTTTGCACATGCTAGGCCCTTGTTCTTGCAATTTTGCACACGCTAGGCCCCTGTTCATGCAATTTTGCACATGCTAGGCCCTTGTTCTTGCAATTTTGCACACGCTAGGCCCTTGTTCTTGCAATTTTGTACACGCTAGGCCCTTGTTCTTGCAATTTTGCACACAATAGACCCTTGTTCTTGCTATTTGGCACCCGCTATGCCCTTGTTCTTGCTATTTTGCACACGCTAGACCCTTGTTCTTGCAATTTTGCACACGCTATGCCCTTGTTCTTGCTATTTTGCACACGCTAGACCCTTGTTCTTGCAATTTTGCACACGCTAGGCCCTTGTTCTTGCTATTTTGCACACGCTAGACCCTTGTTCTTGCGATTTTGCACATGCTAGGCCCTTGTTCTTGCAATTTTGCACACGCTAGGCCCCTGTTCATGCAATTTTGCACATGCTAGGCCCTTGTTCTTGCAATTTTGCACACGCTAGGCCCTTGTTCTTGCTATTTGGCACACGCTAGACCCTTGTTCTTGCAATTTTGCACACGCTATGCCCTTGTTCTTGCTATTTTGCATACGCTAGACCCTTGTTCTTGCAATTTTGCACACGCTAGGCCCTTGTTGTTGCAGTTTTGCATACGCTAGGCCCTTGTTCTTGCAATTTTGCACACGCTAGGCCCTTGTTCTTGCAATTTTGCTCACGCTAGGCCCTTGTTCTTGCAATTTTGCACACGCTAGGCCCTTGTTGTTGCAGTTTTGCACACGCTAGGCCCTTGTTCTTGCAGTTTTGCACACGCTAGGCCCTTCTTCTTGCAATTTTGCACACGCTAGGCCCTTGTTTTTGCAATTTTGCAAATGCTAGGCCCTTGTTCTTGCTATTTTGCACTCGCAAGACCCTTGTTCTTGAATTTTTGCACACGCTATGCCCTTGTTCTTGCTATTTTGCACACGCTAGACCCTTGTTCTTGCAATTTTGCACACGCTAGGCCTTTTGTTTTGCAATTTTGCACACGCTAGGCCCTTGTTCTTGCTATTTTGCACACGCTAGACCCTTGTTCTTGCAATATTGCACACGCTATGCCCTTGTTCTTGCAATTTTGCACACGCTAGACCCTTGTTCTTGCAATTTTGCACATGCTAGGCCCTTGTTCTTGCAATTTTGCACACGCTAGACCCTTGTTCTTGCAATTTTGCACACGCTATGCCCTTGTTCTTGCTATTTTGCACACGCTAGACTCTTGTTCTTGCAATTTTGCACACGCTAGGCCTTTGTTTTTGCAATTTTGCACACGCTAGGCCCTTGTTCTTGCTATTTTGCACACGCTAGATCCTTGTTCTTGCAATTTTGCACACGCTAGGCCCTTGTTCTTGCAATTTTGCACTCGCTAGGCCCTTGTTCTTGCAATTTTGCACACGCTAGGCTCTTGTTCTTGCAATTCTGCACACGCTATTTTGCACACGCTAGGCCCTTGTTCTTGCAATTTTGCACACGCTAGGCCCTTGTTCTTGCAATTTTGCATACGCTAGGCCCTTGTTTTTGCAATTTTGCACACGCTAGGCCCTTGTTCTTGCTATTTTGCACACGCTAGGCCCTTGTTCTTGCTATTTTGCACACGCTAGACCCTTGTTCTTGCAATTTTGCACACGCTAGGCCCTTGTTCTTGCAATTTTGCACACGCTACGCCCTTGTTCCTGCAATTTTGCACACGTTAGGCCCTTGTTCTTGCAATTTTGCACACGCTATTTTGCACACGCTAGACCCTTGTTCTTGCAATTTTGCACACGCTAGGCCCTTGTTCTTGCAATTTTGCACACGCTAGGCCTTTGTTCTTGTAATTTTGCACACGCTAGGCCCTTGTTCTTGCAATTTTGCACACGCTAGGCCCTTGTTCTTGCAATTTTGCACACGCTAGGCCCTTGTTCTTGCAATTTTGCACACGCTAGGCCCTTGTTTTTGCAAGTTTGCACATGCTAGGCCCTTGTTCTTGGAATTTTGCACACGCTAGACCCTTGTTCTTGCAATTTTGCACACGCTAGGCCCTTGTTTTTGCTATTTTGCACACGCTTGGCCCTTGTTCTGGCAATTTTGCACACGATATTTTGCACACGCTAGACCCTTGTTCTTGCAATTTTGCACACGCTAGGCCCTTGTTCTTGCAATTTTGCACACGCTAGGCCCTTGTTCTTGCTATTTTGCACACGCTAGACCCTTGTTCTTGCAATTTTGCACACGCTAGGCCCTTGTTCTTGCAATTTTGCACACGCTGGGCCCTTGTTCTTGCAATTTTGCACACGCTGGGCCCTTGTTCTTGCAATTCTGCACACGCTAGGCCCTTGTTCTTGCAATTTTGCTCACGCTAGGCCCTTGTTCTTGCAATTTTGCACACGCTAGGCCCTTGTTCTTGCAATTTTGCACACGCTAGGCTCTTGTTCTTGCGATTTTGCACACGCTAGGCCCTTGTTCTTGTAATTTTGCACATGCTAGGCCCTTGTTCTTGCAATTTTGCACACGCTAGACCCTTGTTCTTGCAATTCTGCACACGCTATGCCCTTGTTCTTGCTATTTTGCACACGCTAGACCCTTGTTCTTGCAATTTTGCACACGCTAGGCCCTTAATCTTGCAATTTTGCACACGCTAGGCCCTTGTTCTTGCAATTTTGCACTCGCTAGGCCCTTATTCTTGCTATTTTGCACACGCTAGACCCTTGTTCTTGCAATTTTGCACACACTATGCCCTTGTTCTTGCTATTTTGCACATGCTAGACCCTTGTTCTTGCAATTTTGCACACGCTAGGCCCTTGTTCTTGCAATTTTGCACATGCTAGGCCCTTGTTCTTGCAATTTTGCACACGCTAGGCCCTTGTTCTTGCAATTTTGCACACGCTAGGCCCTTGTTCTTGCAATTTTGCACACGCTAGGCCCTTGTTCTTGCAATTTTGCACACGCTAGCCCCTTGTTCTTGCTATTTTGCACATGCTAGACCCTTGTTCTTGCAATTTTGCACACGCTAGGCCCTTGTTCTTGCTATTTTGCACACGCTAGACCCTTGTTCTTGCAATTTTGCACACGCTATGTCCTTGTTCTTGCTATTTTGCACATGTTAGACCCTTGTTCTTGCAATTTTGCACATGCTAGGCCCTTGTTCTTGCAGTTTTGCACACGCTAGGCCCTTGTTTTTGCAATTTTGCACACGCTAGGCCCTTTTTCTTGCAATTTTGCACACGCTAGACCCTTGTTCTTGCAATTTTGCACACGCTAGGCCCCTGTTCTTGCAATTTTGCACACGTTAGGCCCTTGTTCTTGTCAAACATTGTATGTTGTGCTTGTTTAGGCTACAGTGGGTTAGCCTATAGTGGGTACACATTTCTAGGGTTAGGTTTGACCTATTTGTACCCAACCCTCATTCTAGTCATTCATTCTCGTTTCTCATTCTGACATGGTATTACGAGCCTAGGTTCCACCTAGGACCGAAACGATAGGGCCCACCGTTTCGGCTAGCCGCGCCCTCGTGCGCCGCCTTTTCCTGCGCCTCGAGCGCCTCGTTCTTAAGGCCCCCTAAGGCCCTCTCGCGTCGCCCCTGAAGGCCCCTCACGGCCCCTCGCGTCGCCCTCTTAAGGCCCCTTACGGCCCCGCGCTAGCCTCTCAAGGCCCCGTGTTGCCCCGCGCTAGCCTCTCACGGCCCCTGATCGGCCCCGCGCTAGCCCCCTAAGGCCCCCGTCGGCCCCGCGCTAGCCCCCTAAGGCCCCCGTCGGCCCCGCGCTAGCCTCTCACGGCCCCCGAACGGCCCCGCACTAGCCTCCAATGGCCCCCCGCGCTAGCCTCTCACGGCCCCCCTCGGCCCCGCGCTAGCCCCCCTAAGGCCCCCGTCGGCCCCGCGCTAGCCTCGAACGGCCCCGCACTAGCCCCGAACGGCCCCCAACCGGCCTCGCCCTCGCCCTGGATGGCCCCGCGCTCTCCCTTAGCAGCCCCACCCGGCCCAGCGCTCGCCCTTCTAGGACCGAGCCGAACCGCGCGACCCGACCGAGCCGCGCGACCCGACCGAGCCGCGCCGCCCTAGCCGAGCCGCGCCGCCCTAGCCGAGCCGCGCCGCCCTACTGCTACTACCACTGCTGCTACTGCTACTCCTGCTACTACTACTGTTGCCACTGCTACTGCTTCAGCTATGGCTAGCCCTACAGTTCTCTCGTTTGATACTGAGGGCCGCCTGATTAAGTTTGAGACCTGGCTCGATGATCTGCACCTGTTCCTCCAGCTCACTGCCAGAGAGGATATCTCGCTGTACGATCACGCACTAGGCACAGTCCCTCCTCCTGCTACTACTGCTACCGCTACTGCTCGCTCGCAGTGGCAGACTCGCGATGCCCCCGCCCGCTTTGCCATTCGCAACTCCCTGCCAGTCGATGAGCGAGAGCACTTTGGCCAGCATCAGACTGCGCAGGCCCTGTACACTGCTGTAGTTGCGCGCTACTCCTCCCCGGCCTCAGCTGCACTAGGCCGTCTCTCCCTTCCCTACCTGTTCCCCGACCTGTCCGCTTTCCAGACAGTCGCTGACCTCATCACTCACCTCCGTACTAGTGATGCCCGCTTCCGTGCAGCCATGCCCGCTGAGTTTCTTGCCTCCAACCCTCCCCCGCTCTGGCTCACTCTCTACCACCTCGTCACCCGCCTCCCTGACACTCTGCGTACAGTCAGGGACCACTTCCTAGCTCGCTGCCCCACTAAGCTCACCATTGCCGCCCTAGAGAAGGAACTACTTGCAGCTGAGAAGAGTATTGTAGCTGTAGGTGCCTCTCGTGGCGACCCCCGCACCCCTTTCTTCGAGGGGTGTTCCCCCTCCCCCCTCCTCCCTTCTGTCGCCTCTGCTACTGCTGTCGACCTTCTTGGTGCTGAGCAGGTCAGCTCTGCGTCCGCTCCCAGCGGGCGCCGCAGCGGCAAGGGCAGGGGAGGCAAGGGCGGTGGGGGTGACGGCGGGGGCGGCGGTGGTGGGGGTGGTGGCAGCGGTGGGGGCGGTGGCGGGGCTGGAGGGGCTAGTGGCAGCGGTGGGGGTGGTGGAGGCAGCGGCGGCGGCGGTGGCCAGGGTGGGGGCGGTGGTGGTGGCGGCAGTGGACGTGGCGGCGGCAGGGGCGGTGGTGGTCGTGGTGGAGGCGGCGGTGGTGGTCGTGGAGGCTCTGGCACTGGCCAGAGTGCGCAGCACCCTTGGTCCTCCCAGGAGCTTTGTGAGTGGTACTTACAGCACGGGGGTGGGGGGGGTAGCCTTAGCTGCACGTACGTCATCCGCACTGGTCGCCGCAAGGGACAGACGTGCGGGAGGGCGCACACTGCGCAGCGCTGCTTCTCTTGCCTAGATGACGCTTGGCGTGCTCAGTTTCCTGACACTCCTGAGCTCCCTCAGTGGGCTGATCTCCTCAAGAAGGATATCGATATCTATGCTCTTGATTTTGATGTTATTCTCAAAGCAATGTATGCATTCACTATTAGTGGAGAGGAGGACCAGTACCTGAGGGTTCCGCCTGACCCAGGCATCCGCACGAGTGAGGCTGCCGCCCTAGGTGCTTGCGTGTCTGCTGCCCCAGGTGCTGGTGAGACTTCTGCTCTAGGTGCTTGTGTGTCCGCCACCCCAGGTACTACTGAGTCCACTGAGGCACTGCACACCTTCACTCTAGACTCAGGCGCTTCGCGCTGTTTCTTTCGTGACCGCACTGCTCTTGAGCCCCTTGCTCGACCAGTGGCTGTCTCGCTCGCTGACCCCTCTGGGGGTCCGGTCATTGCGACCTCCTCCACCCTCCTTCCTTGTCCTGCTGTCCCGTCGGGCACACTGTTAGGTCTCCACCTCCCCTCGTTCTCTACAAACTTGGTGGCGGGTTGTGCGCTTCAGGATGGGGGTGTTCACCAGTTCACCCCTGCCTACGAGCGCGTGACACACTGCACGTGTGCTTGGACGGGCCGTCACCTGGCTACCTTCACTCGGCAGCCGGGCTCGGACCTGTACACACTGACCACTGAGTCCCCTCAGGTAGCGGCGTCTGCGTCTGCGTCAGGTCAGCTGTCTGCCCCCTGCTTGTGTCGCTCTCTAGCGCACAAGACTGTCCTCTGGCACCACCGGCTTGGTCACCCGTCAGTGCAACGCCTTCGGAGCATGCACGCCCGGTACCTTGTCTCTGGTCTTCCTCGGGTACTCCCTCCCCTCCCACCCTCCCTTGCTCCTCCTTGTCTTCCCTGTGTCGAGGGGCGGCAGCGCGCTGCCCCTCACTCCTCCTCGTTCCCCCCGACGATTGCTCCTTTGCAGACGCTCCACATGGACGTGTGGGGCCCAGCCTGCGTCCGTGGTCAGGGCCAGGAGAGGTACTTCTTGATCGTCGTTGACGACTACTCGCGCTACACCACGGTCTTCCCCTTGCGCACCAAGGGTGAAGTCCCTGATGCCCTGATCCCTTGGATCAGCAGAGCACGTCTTCAGCTGCGAGAGCGTTTTCGCTCGGAGTTTCCTGTCCTACGCTTGCACTCTGACAGAGGTGGCGAGTTCTCCTCCGACCTCTTGGTAGCCTACTGTGCTGAGCACGGCATTCGCCAGTCGTTCACGCTTCCGGCCTCTCCACAGCAGAATGGGGTTGCTGAGCGCCGCATTGGCTTGGTCATGGAGGTCGCTCGTACCTCCTTAGTCCACGCGGCTGCCCCCCACTTTCTGTGGCCGTTTGCGGTCCGGTACGCTGCGCATCAGCTCAACCTCTGGCCCCGTGTCTCCGCTCCGGAGACCTCGCCCACACTGCTGTGGACGGGGGAGGTTGGCGATGCGTCATGCTTCCGTGTCTGGGGATCCCGAGCTTTTGTTCGCGACACGTCTGCGGACAAGCTCTCCTCCCGCACTGCTCCCTGTGTCTTTCTTGGCTTTGTCCCGGATGCGTCTGGCTGGCAGTTTCACCACCCCGCCTCGCACCGCGTCTTCCCCTCTCAGGACGTCACTTTTGACGAGTCCGTGCCCTTCTACCGCCTCTTCCCCTACCGCACTGCCCCGCTCCCTCCCCCGCCTCTCTTCCTCGCACCAGGTGCTGCAGTGGTAGACCCCCTCCCCCCTCAGGGTGCCGCTCCCTCAGGTGTCTCTCAGGTAGACCCGGTTGAGCCTGCCGAGGTAGCTGTCGACTCGCGTCCTGCTAGAGGTGCTGAGCCTGAGCGTGCGGAGCCTGAGCGTGCGGAGCCTGAGCGGGCGGAGCCTGGGGGTGCTGAGTCTGGGGGTGCTGAGACTGGGGGTGCTTAGTCTGGGGGTACTGAGACTGGGGGTGTTGAGCCTGGGGGTGCTGGGTCTGAGGGTACTGAGCCTGGCGTTGCTGAGTCTGGGGGTGCTGAGCCTGGTGGTGTTGCAGTTGACCGTGAGGCGCCTGGAGGACCTCCCTCTTCGCAGCAGCTACGTGAGTGGTACTCACGGTACTGCAGCCTCCGGCGGGGTGCGTCTCGGGCTCGTAGTGCTACTGGAGTTGGTACTCGTGTTTCCCCACCACGGCGGGAGCCGCCCTCTTCCCCACAGCTTCAAGAGTGGTACGCTCGGCACATCAGTCTCCGGAGTGGGGCTCCTGGTGCTGGGGTCCCCGGAGTTGACGCTGCTGCGGGTGCTGCGGACCCTGGTGCTGGAGGTGCTGCTGCTGCTGGCGGTGCTGCTGGAGGTGCTGCTCGTACTGAGGACCCGGGCGTTGGAGCTGCTGTGGGTGCTGCGGACCCTGGTGCTGGAGGTGCTGCTGCTGCTGGAGGTGCTGCTGGTGCTTCTGGAGGTGCTGCTGCTGCCGCTGGTGTCTCTGCTGGTTCGAGAGTTGCTGCACGGCCACGGCCGTACTTTGTTCCGCTCCTTCAGCAGGTTCTTGGTCAGCGTCCTCCTCCTTGTCCTCCTCTCGCCTTAGAGTGTCCGGCGTCTGTCCAGTCACAGCCACAGTTACCGCCTGCCTCCCCACTCCCTGTGCCTACTCCTTACACTGGTCCGACTGGAGGTCTTGCTGAGAGACGTGAGCCTGCGTCACGTCCTGTGTCACCTGCGTCTCGTCGAGCGTCCCCTGTTCGTGCTGCTACCACTGGTAGTCGTGTCCAGAGTCTGCGTCCTCCTGCTGTCCCAAGCACTCACCAGATGGCGCTTCGTCAGTCCACTGCTCCGCAGCGTCTCGCTCTCCCGTCGCCTCCTGCGTCCTCTCTTCCTGCTCTTGCTGGCCCGGAGTCAGACACCCTTCGCGCTGCCAGTCCTACTGTCACACATCTCCTGGCTACGGTTGTCACTGACCCTTCCTTTGAGTCCGCTGCTGCGTCTGCCTTAGTCACTGAGCTTGTCGACTTTGCAGCTGCGTGTCGTCTAGACTACGCTGCGAGTCTTGTTGCTGAGTCTGAGTCTGTCTGTCCTCCGTCCGTCGGGGGTGAGTGTGCTCTTGGCACGGACGTTCTTGAGGACAGGCAGGAGGAGTTTGGTTGCCTTGCCGCTGCTTTGCCCCATCTCGTGTCCATGCTTGTTGCCCCTGAGGGAGACCCGGATGCACCAGACATCCCGACCCCACGCTCTTACGCAGAGGCGATGGCCGGTCCCTACTCCTCTCAGTGGCAGTCAGCCATGGACACAGAGATGGCTTCCTGGAAGTCCACTGGCACCTACGTCGACGAGATTCCCCCACCTGGGGTGAACATCGTCAGTGGCATGTGGATTTTCAGGGTGAAGCGGCCGCCGGGCTCTCCGCCTGTCTTCAAGGCGCGTTACGTTGCACGAGGCTTCAGTCAGCGAGAGGGAGTTGACTTCTTCCAGACCTTCTCCCCGACCCCGAAGATGACCACTCTTCGGGTTCTGCTACACGTCGCCGCTCAGCGTGACTACGAGCTCCACTCTCTTGACTTCAGCACAGCTTTCTTGCAGGGCAGCCTGCACGAGGAGATCTGGCTGCGCCGCCCACCTGGCTTCACTGGGTCGTTCCCTCCTGGTACCCAGTGGAGCCTCCAGCGGCCAGTCTACGGTCTCCGCCAGGCGCCACGTGAGTGGCACGACACACTGAGGACTACACTTGCGGCTCTTGGGTTCGCTCCTTCTACTGCTGACCCGTCGCTGTTTCTACGCACCGACCCTTCACTGCCGCCGTTCTACATCCTCGTGTACGTCGACGACTTGGTCTTTGCCACTTCTGACACAGTTGGTCTCGCTCACGTGAAGTCCGAGCTGCAGAAGAGACACACGTGCACAGACCTGGGTGAACTGACAAGCTATCTTGGCTTGCGGATCACCCGGGACAGAGCACGGCGCACCATCACCTTGACTCAGTCACACATGGTGCAGCAGGTCCTTCAGCGCTTCGGCTTCACGTACTCCTCGCCTCAGTCCACTCCTCTGCCTGCGGGACACTCGCTCTCAGCTCTGCCTTCGGATGAGTCCGTAGAGCCAAGTGGTCCGTATCCAGAGCTTGTGGGCTGCCTCATGTACCTGATGACCTGCACTCGACCTGACCTTGCATACCCTCTCAGCATCTTAGCACGCTATGTCGCTCCCGGCCGTCACCGGAAGGAGCACATGGATGCAGCTAAGAGGGTGTTGCGCTACTTGTGCAGTACGTCGGGCATGGGGCTAGTGCTTGGAGGGCGAGACCGGCCTGTTCTCACTGGGCACTCAGACGCTTCTTGGGCAGACGACCAGGCTACTCAGCGGTCGTCCCAGGGTTACACCTTCAGCCTTGGCTCTGGCTCTGTCTCTTGGCGTTCTTCTCGCTCTTCTTCTGTTCTCAGCTCCAGCTGTGAGGCTGAGATCTACGCCACGGCCATGGCTGCCCAGGAGCTTTGCTGGCTCACCTGCCTGCTGACTGACCTTGGAGAGCAGCCTCGTTCTCCTCCAGTGCTGTACGTCGACAACAAGGCCACCATTGCCTTGTGTGGGGAGCACAGACTGGAGCACAGGACGAAGCACATTGCTCTGCGCCACTTTCTTGCTCGAGAGCTGCAGCAGCGAGGTCAGCTTTGTCTGCGTTACGTGGCCACTCGGGCCAACACTGCTGACGTGTTCACCAAGGCGCTTCAGCCTTGTGACCATCAGCGCTTCTGTACTGTTCTAGGCCTCGTGCCCACTGTCCCTCATTTGCTCACTTCTTGACTTTGCTTGTACAGTGATCTCTATATATATATACCTGCATGCTTACTCTTGCTAGGTTGTGATCACTGTATCTCTTGTTCTTTTATAAATCTGCATGTGAACTGGTCTTGTGACCGCTTTCTTGTGCTCGGAACTTGTGTGGTATCCTTGAGATCCACCCTGAGCTTTGCTTTGCTTTGACTGGTCTTGTGACCCCTTGTTCTCCCCCACTTTGCCTATGGGGGTGTGTCAAACATTGTATGTTGTGCTTGTTTAGGCTACAGTGGGTTAGCCTATAGTGGGTACACATTTCTAGGGTTAGGTTTGACCTATTTGTACCCAACCCTCATTCTAGTCATTTATTCTCGTTTCTCATTCTGACAGTTCTTGCTATTTTGCACACGCTAGACCCTTGTTCTTGCAATTTTGCACACGCTAGGCCCTTGTTCTTGCTATTTTGCACACGCTAGATCCTTGTTCTTGCAATTTTGCACATGCTAGGCCCTTGTTCTTGCAATTTTGCACAAGCTAGGCCCTTGTTCATGCAATTTTACACACGCTAGGCCCTTATTCTTGCAATTTTGCACACGCTAGGCCCTTGTTCTGGCTATTTTGCACACGCTAGACCCTTATTCTTGCAATTTTGCACACGCTATGCCCTTGTTCTTGCTATTTTGCATACGCTAGACCCTTGTTCTTGCAATTTTGCACACGCTAGGCCCTTGTTCTTGCTATTTTGCACACGCTAGACCCTTGTTCTTGCAATTTTGCACATACTAGGCCCTTGTTCTTGCAATTTTGCACACGCTAGGCCCTTGTTCTTGCAATTTTGCATACACTAGGCCCTTGTTCTTGCTATTTTACACACGCTAGGCCCTCATTCTTACTATTTTGCACACGCTAGACCCTTGTTCTTGCAATTTTGCACACGCTATGCCCTTGTTCTTGCTATTTTGCACACGCTAGACCCTTCATCTTGCTATTTTGCACACGCTAGGCCCTTGTTCTTGCAATTTTTCACATGCTAGGCCCTTGTTCTTGCAATTTTGTACACACTAAACCCTTGTTCTTGCAATTTTGCTCACGCTAGGCCCTTGTTCTTGCAATTTAGCACACGCTAGGCCCTTGTTCTTGCAATTTCGCACACGCTAGGCCCTTGTTCTTGCTATTTTGCACACGCTAGACCCTTGTTCTTGCAATTTTGCACACGCTAGGCCCTTGTTCTTGCTATTTTGCACACGCTAGACCCTTGTTCTTGCAATTTCGCACACGCTATGCCCTTGTTCTTGCTATTTTCCACATGCTAGACCCTTGTTCTTGCAATTTTGCACACGCTAGGCCCTTATTCTTGCAATTTTGCACACGCTAGGCCCTTGTTCTTGCAATTTTGCACACGCTATTTTGCACATGCTAGACCCTTGTTCTTGCAATTTTGCACATGCTAGGCCCTTGTTCTTGCAATTTTGCACAGGCTAGGCCCTTGTTCTTGCTATTTTGCACACGCTAGACCCTTGTTCTTGCAATTTTGCACACGCTAGGCCCTTGTTCTTGCTATTTTGCACACGCTAGACCCTTGTTCTTGCGATTTTGCACATGCTAGGCCCTTGTTCTTGCAATTTTGCACACGCTAGGCCCTTGTTCATGCAATTTTGCACACGCTAGGCCCTTGTTCTTGCAATTTTGCACACGCTAGGCCCTTGTTCTTGCTATTTGGCGCACGCTAGACCCTTGTTCTTGCAATTTCGCACACGCTATGCCCTTGTTCTTGCTATTTTGCATACGCTAGACCCTTGTTCTTGCAATTTTGCACACGCTAGGCCCTTGTTGTTGCAGTTTTGTACACGCTAGGCCCTTGTTCTTGCAATTTTGCACACGCTAGGCCCTTGTTCTTGCAATTTTGCTCACGCTAGGCGCTTGTTCTTTCAATTTTGCACACGCTAGGCCCTTGTTGTTGCAGTTTTGCACACGCTAGGCCCTTGTTCTTGCAGTTTTGCACACGCTAGGCCCTTGTTCTTGCAATTTTGCACACGCTAGGCCCTTGTTTTTGCAATTTTGCAAACGCTAGGCCCTTGTTCTTGCTATTTTGCACACGCTAGACCCTTGTTCTTGAAATTTTGCACACGCTATGCCCTTGTTCTTGCTATTTTGCAAACGCTAGACCCTTGTTCTTGCAATTTTGCACACACTAGGCCCTTGTTTTTGCAATTTTGCACACGCTAGGCCCTTGTTCTTGCTATTTTGCACACGCTAGACCCTTGTTCTTGCAGTTTTGCACACGCTATGCCCTTGTTCTTGCAATTTTGCACACGCTAGACCCTTGTTCTTGCAATTTTGCACATGATAGGCCCTTGTTCTTGCAATTTTGCACACGCTAGACCCTTGTTCTTGCAATTTTGCACACGCTATGCCCTTGTTCTTGCTATTTTGCACACGCTAGACTCTTGTTCTTGCAATTTTGCACACGCTAGGCCCTTGTTTTTGCAATTTTGCACACGCTAGGTCCTTGTTCTTGCTATTTTGCACGAACAAGAAAGTTACGAACGTTGGAGTTCGTATGCTTTTGATATTTGGTTGTGGTGACTATGGGAAGTTGTGGGGTTGACTCAATATGGGGTACAGACTTTTGGGGGTTGGGGAATTCGTATTTTCTACTGTAGTTGCTGCCAAATGGTTGGGAGAAACCAAACCAGGCTGGCAAGTGTGGCCAAGTTGGGTTGAGGTGGATTGTGGAGGTTGGGATAGTGACAAAGGTCAAAGTTGGGTTGCCTATGGGGAAGGGAATTGTATGGCATGGGGTTTCCTTGGTTGGGGACTCTCTTGGGACCTTCCCTCTCGTCCTCCTCATCCCTTCCACCTGGTTTAGTGCTACTCCACTTCTCTTGTGTGAACTTGTGTGAACTTTGTGATTGAGTTAAGATTC